TATTATGAATTTGCATAGATGTCCATAATCTATCAATTAGTTTTTAAAGAAATGTCAGGGGTAAAATGACATTTAGTAATCCCCGTTACCAGTGCTTTATGGCTGTAGTCTATCATTTTCTCGGGGATTGTTCATTTTATCGCGGAAATTATTGGCACAATGTATATCTTATCTTATTGATTGGTTCTTTTAATCACAGGTAACCGATATGAAATCAAGAGTGTCATTCTCTATTCCTCGGAACGTTTCAGTTCAAGAGAAAAAAGTTGCAAACACATCAAGCTCTTCGAGTGAGAAACAAGAAAATGACAATGAGAGCCAAAACAGCAACGAGCTGCAACAAAACGAAAGTGACAATTTCGGAAGTGTTAGAATTGACTCGAGTGTCTCGAGATCCTCTCACATTACGTCCATGGAATTACAGACTTACAAACCTTTAATACCGCTTCTTCCAGCGGAGGTAGATCACGTCGAGGAGACCCCACCCGCATCCATCTTTGTTATCGAAGTGGATGTAAATCACGTGGAATCGGTCCATGAAAAACTTGGCGAGGAGTTAACGGAAAATAAGGACAAAGGTTGATGAAATTCTTCCACATTTCTGATCTTGAGCAAATTCATTAAAATTGAATCCTGAATTCAATTTAATCTAAAAACCGGTGAATATTAATTTCACTATTGATAATAATAAACTAAATTTCACTATTGATAATAATAACGATATATATGGTAATTACTTTTTACCATAAGTCATTGAAATTGCAAAATAAATTACAAAATAAAGTTTCCCAGATGTGACGTATTTTTGATGTTAGTGTATTACAGTTCGATGTATGATATTTTGAATCCTGGTGTTAATAAAGTACAAGTTCGCATAAAGTACCAAAAAGCTATATTGCATTAATAATGAATATTTGACTAAATGTATTTTGAGATTACATCTTAATCGTAATGGTGAATAATGGATTATAAAAAATGTATTTAAAAAGAATTTAACTTTACAACAGTCATTTTTTTATGAATAATGAATAATTTCAAAAACAATATACGTGCATTCTTGAAACAATAAATTCGTTGTTAATGATAATTAAGTCATTGATAGATATATAACATATCTGCATGTACATATCTATAATGGGATACGATCAACAATGATCTCATATAGGTTACATTTCATGAATATATAATTTGCATGAAAATTATGTGAAACGTATATTAAAAATAGAAATCTCAAAAATAGTCAATCCCCTATAAACAAATCAATGTAGATGAACAAGTCAATATTAGAATTTTAAAACACTAAGAAGTAATAAATAAAACGATCTGTATGTAAATGTTCATTCCACATTTTGTGTATCGCGACAACTGAAATAAACGTTACAAAAATATCATCTATGTCCAAACCATATTACTATTTAATAACCTAATACTATCCAACTATTTAACAATTCCAGCACAAAAATCTTCGTCTTGATTATTTTATCTTATTTTTCTTCTTTCAAACGAATTTTGTACAAACTGTTTGTACAAACGGATTGCTGAACTAATTCGAACTTCGATATATTGAATCAATATCACGCATGCGCTGTAAGTACACTTGAAGTTGCTATAGCGTGCAACAGGTAGCGTTTCAAACATGGGAACGTAGACGTTTCCCGCCAAAAGTTAGTCGATTCTCAACGTTGCATCGTGTACTATTGTTGGTCCGAGTTGGAAAATGTTCTTGCCGTAAAATATCGGATGCTAAACAATGGATCCGTGTGAAGTCGAATTTCTCAGTGAAAAAGAGCTAGTCAGTATCGTACCGAATTTTAGTTTCGACACGATCCATTTAATATCGGGATCAGTCGGCCCCTTTCGAGCTGGTTTACCTGTCAAAGTCCCGATATGGTTGGCAGTGAACCTGAAACAGCAACAAAAGTGTCGAATTATTAATCAAGACTGGATGGACGCCGATTCTTTGAACGAGGCAAAGGAAGAAGAGAAATTATCTAAGTGAGAAAATATGTCTTTTCTTCATTTCGTTCTGATGAGATACTTCTCTCATACAAAAAAAATTTATGATTTTAGACTATTTACAAAAATGCCTAGTAACCATTATATGGAAGAAGCACAGCTTTTACTGAATGTTGCAAGCGATGATATATCTGATGCCGATAGAATAAAGACGGCCATAAAGGTATTAAGTATAGTAACTATATTTTTTAATACCAATGTATTAATTAATTTTTTAGGATATATGGGATATAAGAATGTCAAAGCTTCGTACATCAATAGACGCATTTCTCAAAAGTGAAGGTCTACATGCAAAATTAGACCACTTAACTGCCATGGAAATCAATAGCGTTCGTCCACTATTGCCACATGCTCTGGATCAAATGCTAAGGATTCAAACTGTATGTGTATTCTATAAAATAATAAGAAACGATGTAAAGTGATTTTATTTTTTCAGGATGGAAGAGCGACACAATCTCATTATTCAGGAACGTCACAAGTTGATCATTGATAATTTTTAGTTTGTAAATATAATTTAGTTTGTATATATTTATGAAGTTTTCATAATGTATTTTTGTTGATCTTATATGAAGAAATGAAAGGGGTCGGATGTAATAGAATAATGTATTTATAAAATATAATATACAAATGCGATATAATAGTTTTATTATTTCTTATTTTTAGGTTCATTACATACAGTCACTAGCATCTCAATCACAATTTCTCGTTATTACTAACATGTAGTAAACTTATATTTACATCGGTAAATTTGTTGCTTTGACTAATGAACTTGCAACTCGTTTATCGCTATATTTCTTCTTTTTTCACAATATTTACATACCTTAAGCTTATAATACACAGTCCTTTAATAATCTTTGATTTCAAATCCTTAAGGTGGATTTCGTTATAATAAACTTAACCAGTTAAGTTGAAGAAGATCTGTTTAAATGTCAGTCAGAATTTCAATCCTATATTGAGTTTGTAAATCGTCTAGTGTAGAACACATGGAAATGTATGTTACGAAATAAAAGATGAAAATAATTGGGAACTGCAATAGTAAGTAAATAAACGAGTTTGATGCTATAAATGAGAAATTAAAAAGTCCTAATGGTTGATATACACATGTTCATCTTGTTCCCATTTAACTGAGAAATATATTCCTTTAAATAATTAGGATCGCCTGTTCATATCCTAATCTTCAATGCTACATATAAAGATAACATAAATATTATTAATGTAATAAAGAAATAATTCCGATCGTAATCAATATATAGTTTTCCGAATTCAGATTCCCTAAATGTTATATAAAACAATACGGGAAGTTGTTTCTTATTTTAAGTTACTTTTGCTTAGTATACTTTTAGTGCAACGACGTTTTCTATAAGTCAAGTACTTCGGCCTATCACACAAAGTATACAATTAATAAATATCAAGTACCATTAATCGTTTACGATACGGTTTGACGATACGTGTAAAAGTAAGAAATGTGTATGTGTGTATGTTTGTTTGTTTGTGAATGTAATGTAACAAAATCGAAAGTATTACGCGGAACGATAGTGATTGAGTTAGTATGATACAATGTATTTAATAAAAATGCGATTCGACATTATTGTCGCTTTCAGACAGCAACTATTTTGCTGGGATCGACCTTTACTCGGATGAACATAGTATTGTCTTTAACAAAATGCCGTTTTTTCACCATTTCATGAGAAAGGAATCGGGGAAAACCAAAACCGAGAGAATCAGGCTCGCGACTGGGCCTCTGGAAGTTTTTCCATGTTGGATCCGGTATAAAACTTTCCACGATATTGCACGCCTTCTCCGCGACAACAGTCTGGTCAAATATAGTAAAGGACACGCTGTGAGAAAATGGCCATCGCAACAGAGCATCGTATTCTCCGGGAAGAATCTTTATGTATATTGAAATATGACTTCCTTCGCCAGTACCATTTCCATTTAAGAAAAGTGACGCCTGAAATATTGAATATTTCTCAATATAATTATGTACTACACATTTGAATCTTCAAAGCAGCAATTCAACTTTACTGATGAAACTTTATCTCTGAAGATTCTTATAAGAACTATCGACTTTTAATATGTATTTAAATAAATTAATATACCAAAGATATTTATGTATTTATATATTAAGATATTATTTCAGTAATTACAAAAGCAAGAAATCTGATACTTAATTGATTTGGTAGTTGATAGAGAAGAATAATTTAAGAGTTAATATTAACTATTGTTCACCTGTAGCTTGTAACCATATTGACTAGTGTAAAAAGGGGGGCTAACGAGTTCCATGCCCTCCTTGGCCTTTGCCTCGGACATTTTGGCGCTGTAATCCGTAATTTTCCATATTAGCGTGCCCGTGTAATTTAATGATAGTTTGCTAATAGCGGATTTCAGACTGGTTATCTGGTGCTGCTGTTTTGTTACTACACTGCACATCAAACTTAAGTGCATCTTTGCTGATTCTTCCAAATGTTTATCCAACGAAAATCGATTTCCCTGCAAAAAAAATAATATTTTAATATCAATAGTAAAAAAAACGAAGGTAAGAAATACTGGAAAAATATAGTAAATAATTTAAGTGAATAAATTGATGTACCTTAAAACGACAGCCGGCATCCTTGAAAGTACAGGATAAGAGGTGTGTAGTGCAATGATCTTTCAAGTGAACTTCGAGATCTTCTCTTGGTAAGACGGCAGTTTCACAACGATGTGGACAGGCGACTGGAAAGCGGCCGCACTTGGCGTGATGAGCACCGAGCGTGTCAAAAACGAATTCTTTGTTGCAGTAACGACAGGCTACCAGTCTTTTCGCGCACTCACCCAACTTGTGTTGACTGAGGTGCCTTCGTTGTACTTTCATGCCACACTTATTCTCGCAGTAGAGTGGTTCATAACCACACGTCCCTGTGTGCTTCTATAGAAAAAAAAAAAGATGAAAACAAAAGATATTAGTTTAAATAATTCATTAGGAGTAAAAAAGTAAGTTGTTTGTATTCATATAATGGTTCAGGAAGTAACTTTAATTGGAACATTCATTCCAGCTCACAAATTTGCAGCACCCTTTGCTTTTTAAACAAAATAACTTTTTTGGTATTCAAATAAGTATAAATATTGTAATTATATTTCAACTCTGAATATAATTAATTACAGTTTCAATACCTTAAAACAGTGCTTAACACGTCATAAATGAAATTAATAAAATATTTACTTGTTCAAATAAATAATTATTTCTTTTCAAATGTGCTCCAAAGTTTCAAGCAGGAATGCTATATTTAGTGGAAAATTAATATAAAACGTACAATTAAATTAAAAATTAATATAAAACGCATGTTATGATATAATATGAATGTATTATTCATTCATATGTTTATTCACATTCATATAGTCATTCCATGTAGTTATAAAATGTTTCCAAAGTGTGTTTGAGTAAAGTTTCGCGAATCACTGTACGCGATTAAAAATATGGAAATGAAGGAGGGAGAAGAATTTGAGAAATTTCGCTCGAGCTCATAGTGCTTTCGCTTCCATCCGTTCCCACTACAGTAAATGTAAGTTAACGGTTGGCACTCGTACACGATTCTTCTAATTAATGCAGGCGGTTACCTCGAGCGTGTGACCGGTGAATTCTTTGGCACAGAAGTCGCAGCGTGCTCGCCGCTGGGCGCAAGTGTACTTTAAATGGTCCTCCATCAGCACACGGGGGATCATCGCGCCGCACTTATTGCTGCAGGGGACGGCGTCGTGCTTGCAGGTATTCAGGTGAGCCTAAACAGGATATAATGTGATTTTTACATCGGTCAGACTTGAACGGCGCATTCCTTTTATTCTGATCGGATCGTTCTCAGATTTACTTCGTCGTGCGTTGCGACAATCATCGGGTGAATGAACCGCATACCGGAGATCGGAGGAATAGTAATACGTAATGTCTATAATGGCGTGCAAAAACATTGGATTGAAATTGGATTTCTTCCGTGAGAATTATGCGAGGAGTTTTTTTACAATTTACTGCATTCCTTAGCAGAATCCTCTGTTATAATTAATTATTCCTTGAATAATATTTATTTAAAATATTAAATTTTGGCAATAAATGAAATCTGTCATGACAATTGATTTACAATCCAACATTTTTATACGTCATCATTGTATGATGAAATTATTGAATATTGCTGCACGTATAGAATTATTTCAAAAAGTTACAATAAATTCATTTCCTTATAGCTTTTTATAATTTTCCCTGACAATGGGATTTCATTACAATACTGCTGATTACAATAGATAATAGAAATATGAAGCCATTAATAGCAGAGGCTATTTGTAACATTTTGTGACGAGAGATCATGCAAGACTTGATACATTAATAACGGTAAGAAGAGTCAATAATTATTCCTATAATTGATTGGAAGGCCAGCACAAGTTATCCATAAGCCGTGTGGGAGTTAACAGTGCCAGGACCAGTTCAACGACCTATCAGCGCAAGGTCGCCCAAGATCAGAAATGCATAATGAAACGATCTTGAAAGCGTATACTTTTACAATTTCAATTAATTTCGGTACTCCCTGAAGGAAGGATAGGCAATATTGTTAGTACGCAATTAATATTTAAGAAACTAAAAACTAAGTTCTTTACATATTCACAGAATGAGTAAAAATATCATAATTATTTAACAATGTACATCACTACTCTCACTATATAAAAATGGAACATTGGAACTAATTGAAACTAGAAAATAAAAAGAAAAAAAAATCGTATAATATTACCTTTAACTTTCGCAGTTCGTCAGACCACTTGCAGCCATCCTTATGATGTATGCAATATACAATGGAGCCCATTATTGCCTTCTCTGCTTCCAGGTCCTGGAAATTCTATAACACACACACAAAAAAAAAAAAGATGAAAGAAAGAAAGATGAAAAAAAAAAAAAA